GTTTTTTTATGTTTCCGGCTCCCTTGCCGGCGTCCGCGTCCAAGTCGCCTGCCTCCTGGTCCGAGAAGTCTTCTGAGCTAACGTCCGAGTACTCCACTAGTGCGGTGGCCGCCGCGGAGGATGCATGCATCGTAGCGTCTCGGCGGTTGGATTTGGAGAACTCGCAAGACCGCAGACACCAAACTCAGTTCTCTACGGTTCGTGCTGGGACTTCGTTGTCCGCTTACTTCTGCTACAAGTGGCACTTCGGCGTTCAAGTTTTTTTTTCTGACTTTGCGGTAAGATTTTCCTCGCGAACAGCTTCAATTTTATTTACATCGCTGCCTGCCAGCACAAGCACATATTCGTGTGACGTTTTCTTTACATGATTATCGGGGATATGTGCTAGTTTAAGGCGCCGAAGTTGCGCAGACAATCGAAAACGTTCGACACTCTGCGGCACAGCTTTGGAAAGTCAATCTAGTGTTCGGTTTCCACTAAAATTAACATAAAAAAAAATTTACAACTTGTCATTTTAAGGTTATAATGAAGTGGCAAGTGTGACCGAAAATGGTATGTGTTATTTTCGCCATCAGAGGAAGAACGCGTGTTGCTGACATTTAACCAATCTATGGCGCTGGGCACACTGAAGGTGTTTAAGGAAAAATAACAATCATTTTTTATTTAGGTTCATTAAAACTAATGGAATACTAGTGCCTTTGAATAATGATTAAATATAATCTGCAATTTTTTAATTATTGGCACTAGGCTACTTGTTTTTGTTTGTTTGAACTTACCTGTAGACTAGGGCGACAGCGAAAGTTCTAGTGCCGTAAAAGCCGATGGATAATTGGAGATATAAAACGAAATTTCAGATACTTATGAAAAACATTTTTAAGTTACGTTAAGGATTTTCGAGGACACTTTCCAGCACTACTTTTGCACTGTTGCTTGTCATTGACGGTAGTGTGAGAGTCCAAGGTTGTCTGCGTGTCTGCATGTATGAGACCAACACCAACCCATATACATACATACATGAGTATTAATATATGTAAGTATGTGGGTCACTTTATTTTCTTTTCTGCGGACTTACCAGTTTTTAGGAGTAAATTATGCAAACACCACTTGTTAATAACTTTATTGCCGGCGCAATTGGCGGCTTACACGATTCTTTATTTCGGCTCTCGGCGCACGCACTCGCTGAAGTCCTTAAATTATTAAATAACACGGGTATCGAAGTCTAGTATTTCGACGTTGTTTATGCTTCCGAATTATATTCATTACGCGAATATTGCCTCAGCTTATTGTGGGATCGGTTTATATATAAGAGTTTGTTCAAATGCAAGTTACATGTCTCATTAGGCATTGTTTCGGTAGTAAAACCATAAGAATAATTTTGCCATGATTCTCTGCATTTGCAATGGCTGGCAATATTCTCGGCGATTAATCACCAGGGCTGCATTATCTGTCAATGCAGTGGGAACGCGCTGTGATTAAAATGTGTATTTTAGTATACGGTTGGTAGAATATTTATTATTATACAACTGTTTTTTATTTAACATATTTTCAATAAAACATATATATAGTTAAAATAAGGATAACAATATGTAATCTACTTCTCTCATAAGCTAAACGAATTTAGCGCTGGCCACACTGGGAAAGTTCTAGCAAATAATTGTTTTTTCCACCATTATCGATAGTTTGATTTTTTCTTACATTATAAACACAACTAACGTTAATAAATCATATTTAAAAATTATAAAATTATTTTAAATGATAAAATTTTATAAATTTTGATATATAAGTTCAAAAAATAAATTGACTTTCAATAAGCAATTTTTGCATATATCGTTTAGTGTATCCCTCGTTAGTGCTGGTAACCGATCTTCTCAAATGTGGCATTAAAATTTTCTAACACTAACGGTGGCGTTTAAATTTTGTTTCGCTTGTTTGTTTACATGGCTTTAGTTTTTGATAAGTAACAACAAATCATAGCAAGTGGCTTACTAAGTCTACAGAAAAAAAATCTAGATATGTTATCCAATCGGGCTTTTGGAGAAACTATTGAGGTGGGTGTTCAGGAATGCAGTAGTCTAATGGAGTTTTCAAGCGCTGTTTGCCTTTGCAGGATTATGAAGTACAGCACTTGCTGGGCAAAGGTGGTTTTGCGATTGTCTACAAGGCGCGGTGCCTTCACACTCACCAGGATGTGGCCATAAAGATGGTAAGTACTGCTATATTAATGGTTAAGCATATTACTTACAAATTTGCTTTCAGATCGATAAAAAACTGATCCAGGGCACTGGACTCACTAACCGCGTACGCCAGGAAGTGGAAATCCACTCCCGCTTGAAGCATCCCTCTGTGCTTCAGCTGTACACTTTCTTCCAGGACGCCAACTATGTGTATTTGGTGCTCGAGCTGGCTCATAATGGGGAGCTTCATCGCTATATGAACCACATTGCCAGACCCTTCACAGAGACGGAGGCTGCTTCCATCCTGAAGCAGGTGGTGGCGGGACTTTTGTACCTGCACTCTCACAACATCATGCACCGCGATATTTCGCTATCCAACCTCCTGCTTAGCAAGGAAATGCATGTTAAGATCGCCGATTTTGGACTGGCCACCCAATTAAAGCGTCCTGACGAGCGCCATATGACCATGTGTGGAACCCCGAACTATATTTCGCCTGAGGTGGTGTCACGCTCGTCTCACGGACTGCCCGCGGACGTCTGGAGCGTTGGATGCATGCTGTACACCCTACTGGTGGGACGACCGCCCTTTGAAACCGATGCAGTGCAGTCAACCCTTAACAAAGTTGTAATGTCTGAGTATATTATGCCGGCTCACTTGTCTTATGAGGCGCAAGACTTGATAAATAAGTTATTGAAGAAGCTCCCGCATGAACGAATTACCTTGGAGGCGGTTCTCTGCCATCCTTTTATGTTGAAATGCTCAAATGGAGGACACTCGACGCCGGGAGCGTTGAATATGTTCAGCCAAAGTATGGAAAGCGGCGATAGTGGAATCATAACATTTGCTAGCAGTAATTATATGGGAATTTATATCTGTCTGTGGAATCTTACTCTAATTTTCCATTTTAGGTGACTCCCGAAATTCCCAGCAAATTCGTTCTGTGGAAAACTCAGGACCACAACAAGTGCTTCCTCAAATACAGGAGGAATTCAAGCATCATAAGTTGACTTATGAGCAGCCAGGTTTATTTCGGCAAACTTCAACTGGCTTGGCAGAGCCAAATTGGCCTGGAGCTACTAAGGCTTCATCGTTCCGCATGGAAATGGGCATGGTACAAAATTCTAAACCGGCACCTGTTAAAGAGGATCGTATTTCGGTGCCACCATTGAACACTAAAAGACTGCTTCCGACGCGTTATAAGACGAAGAATGCTATAATGAGTATTTTGCGCAATGGGGAGGTAGTTCTCGAGTTTTTTAGGTTTCGACCAACCTATAATGAAGATCGCATTACTGATATTTGTCGCATATCGGACGACGGACAGCGAATCATAATTTATCAGCCAGATCCTGGGCGGTAAGAAAAGTGCTACAATGAATATCGAAGACATCTTTAATACTTTCTTACATTTTAGTGGCTTACCAGTAAGAGAGCAGCCCCCAGATCTTCAAATACCAAGCGGAGATTGCGTATATAACTACGAGAATTTGCCAAGCAAGCACTGGAAAAAATATATATACGGAGCTCGATTTGTGGGACTGGTTAAAAGCAAAACACCAAAAGTCACATACTTCAGTACTCTAGGCAAATGCCAATTGATGGAGACTATGACAGACTTTGAGATTCGCTTCTACTCGGGGGCTAAGCTACTAAAGACGCCGTCCGAGGGGCTTAAAGTTTACGATCGAAATGGAATGTTTCTCTCAGATCATTCCTGTTCGGAGTCACGATCCCTAATAGAGCATGGGAACGAGTGTTTCACTCATTGTGTTAACATCAGTAATGCCTTGGAAGTTGCTCAGACGAAGGAAAATTCGTGTTTTCCAGTCACAATCGGACGAAGACCTTTAACAGATGTGCAGCCAGCTCAAAGATTAGACGGCCTACGGGATACCACCAATATTGCGTTTTCCACACCAAAATCGAATCAGGTACTTATACATATACATTAAATAATGTGCAGACTGTGACATGCATCTATTATACAGGGCTCAATAAACTTTTCCGTAAGCACAATTTCGTCGACTCGAAATACTACAGGCTTTGAAACCAACTGCTCCAGGTCAAACATGCTAGCCGCCCATCAAAATATTCCCATCAAACGCATAAGCGTTCCTGATGTAGGAATTGCTACTGAGGTAATGCCCAAGTGTACCTTTATTTTTCACATGGTTTCTGATCTTCATTTCTCCATTCTCCATTCTAGCTCTCCCATGGAGTTGTCCAAGTGCAATTTTATGATGGATCCGTGGTCTCTGTTATTCCGAGCATGCAAGGTGGTGGTATAACTTACACCCAACCAAACGGAACTTCAACCCACTTCGGCAAAGACGACGACTTGCCATTCCCGGTCAGAGATAGAGTCGGTCAGATACCAAACATTCAGTTAAAGTTGAAGACAGCTCCATTGCTGGAAAGCGGCAGGAAAATTGACTACAATGCAATGACTCCCAAAACGACAACGCCTTGTTATAATCGCATGCTTCTATAATTGAATCAAAACTATCTTCCCAAATAGATTTTAAGTTTGAACAAATGTACTTGTATTGTAAATTAAAGGTTAATATATTTTTTACGTTTTCCCTGTGCTTATCAAAATGACTAACCCAAAATTATTCAATGTATCTATGCTTTCTTTTGTAAGTTTTATGATTTTTATAAAGAAATCAAAAACATATTGGTTTCTTTTTTTTGGTAATTCAAGCATTTGGCGTCTCCGTTGTTGTCGAAAGGGCGGCAACAAGAAAAATTAATGAGTAGGGGTAGGGGTCTACGTTTAAATTGGAATTCCATTACCGAACACACAGCATTAGACGGCTTTAAAGTTTGGTTTACCTCAAGTTCTTTATTTAATTTTCAAAAGTTTATACTTTTTGTATAAGTGTGAGGTTAGAAAATTGTAGTATAAAATATATCATTATTACGTACGTGTATATATTAAATACGAGATAAATATATTTATAATTTTATACTTAGTCAAATCTACAGATTAACATTGCCTTACTAAACTAATGCTACCGCATTTACAAATTACTACGGCAGGATTTGTATTGCTTTAAAGTTGTAGATGCAATAGTGAAATATACACATTAAAAGTAATTTGTTGTACAGATTTTAAAGACAATCGTGCACGGATGGATTACACTATGTAATAATAATAAGTTGCGATTAACTAATGTATCCGTATATTAATAAAATGCATTCGGCAATTCAGAAGAATCAATTTGAGCATAAGCATTTGACTGTTATGTTGGCATGAATTTATTCCTTGCAAGGTAATAAGAAACAGAAAAATAAGGAATACAAACTAACTTAAATCAATGGACGGAAGAAAAACGTTAGTGAAACCGTACAGAATATAAGAAGCATAATTTCAGTAAAATCTTTTGATTTGACAGTTTTAAAATGGATACAACTGCTTAACACATTAAATAATAATAAACAGTTTAGTTACCAACTTATTAAATGAACATGTATAACTTGAAACTCAACTTTAATCTTAGGTCTAAATGAAAAATATTAGCTATAGCATGTTGGGTTTCGTTGGAAATTTGTTCACTTTTCGTTGTATTGTGCGTGAATCGCTCAAAGAGCGGTAGACTTGTCCTTAAGCTCAAACTGAATCTTCTGAAATATGTCCTAGAACCGATCCTTCGAGGTGGCGCTGTACTCCAGCTCGTTCAAGTTCTGGATCTCCTGCAGCTCCTGAAACTTTTCGTGGTCCCGAATATGGGCGTAGTTGGCAGACAAGCACATGAGGTAGTGGACCAGGCTGAGCAGCACCAAAAGGGTGGACAGAGTGGCCAGTATAAACATCACCTCAGCATTCTCAACACCGTCTTTGCAGAAAGCCTTAATCTCGTACTTTTCGCAGACCTTCATGTCCTCAAGTTTCGTGTTTGGCGGAAACATGAAATCTGTGGGATCCAGAATTATTAAAAGACTTATCTTTGCGTATATATATTTAATGGCTTACGGAATTGTGTCAAATCAATGCAGCTTTGAGAGTGCTCAACACTGGTGCACATGTTCCAGAACATAGTGTAGATGAAGGTAACCACTACTAGGAAACAGAGTATCAGACTCCAAACAAAGTTAAGCAGGTAGGTTATCCCCATAAGGACGGCGCACGAGATTCGACCGCCCACTCGAGATCGCCACGCCCGGTAAACCTTGTATCTCGTGGCTCCGGTAGCCAAAAATCCGACGAACAGGATCATGAACCCGAGGGCGGCCATGCCCGCTCCAATTATTACAAAAATCATTTGCACGGCTTCGATCCTAAAGGGATCAGATGGTTAGAGTAAATCGCGTTTGGAAGTCCTAATAAATAACTCACCATATAAGGCGTAGGTGGAAAACCTGGTCAACCATTATTACGGTGAGTGAGGCTCCTCGGTACATGGTGAAGCAGAAGATTCCCACTCCCAGGAGACACATCAGAGTGGCTATCAGGGTGGCGTAGGGAATACGCGCCATGCAGGATTGGCAGCATTCTCCTACAAAAATGAGTTACATTTGAGGAAAAATATTTTTAAAAAGTTTTGATTGTAATGTTAAATTAATGTTGTCTATGAAGAAGAAGAAATTTTATTTATCAACGGAAATCAATACAGTTAAAAACATCTACTTATACTTATATCTAGGAATAGGAATTTACAGAGACTTTGCGTAAAGACTTTCTTAATTACATTACAAATAAAAGCGTTCGTGTTTTAATATCTCTTTTTGAATTATTTAAAGTTCTATAGAGCTATGGAAGACATCAGAATACACATTTCTGCTTGGCTAGTTCAAATAGGCGGAAGCATTGCTTTCGTAATAAACTGATTAAAAACGTGATAAAGACATGATGATGGGATGCCTTTAAAAAGTTATCGATCACAGTAATCTAAAAAATTATCCCCAGTTTAATTATCAAACGGGAAGAACTATAAAAGTCTGACGTATTCTTTCTACATTGTGTTAGTGTGTTTTGATTTAACTTTAAAAAAATATATAGCTATGCAATGAAGCCTAAGGACAGAAATGAATCGAGTGTAGTACAGAGTTACGAGCATAGAATGCGTTATGTGAAAAGTGGGAAAGCGGTTTGTAAACATATGTGCATGGTACATTTAAGACGAATACACACAAACTAAAAAAGACAGTGATAAGATAACAGGTGAGCCCACGACTGGTGGTTTCAGGTTGTCCAGTGATTCACGTAAAGCAGAACAAGCGCAAGGTGTGTACACAATTCGGTGAGGGTGAAATCTATTGATTGTCGGACTCCGATCTGTCCCGGATTCCGGGTCATACCTTCGCCTCCGCGCTCCGTGTATCTGTCCAAGGAGTGGTCCGAGCGGTACGAGTTGCGCCGACGGTTCTGGATGGACGCGTTGTACGGATTTCCGTTATAAGCGCGAGTCAGGACTCCGCCGTCGTCCTCGAAATTCGTCTCGAGCAGGATCTCCTCGCGGGGATCCCGGATGCGATCGCGGTTGTTCCCCTTGCCCGGCATACTGCACAGTGCTTTATGGAGTCGAATTCGGAATTTTAGTTGCGGTATGTAAGCTAGGCTAGCCCAAGCTAATTGGCACACAGTGAATCACAAGCACACCGACGTCACCCAATCAAGAGACCTCCCAATAATTATAATTAGCCTTTATAGCAATGACCACCGAACAGCGAATGACGCTCCAGTAGAAAAGAAAGAACACTGAAATCTAAAAACTCAGAATGTCGATGTCGAGTGAGTTCTCAGTTTATTCTCCAAAAGAGAGTTACGGAGATAACTGTCTTTTTGAACTGCTCTCCAAGAGCGTAGCGCTCTCTTACGAAATCTCGTTACACTGACAGAAAACATGCATCTTTAATATGAGTATAAAGTATATCGAAAATTAGTAGTATATTGAATGAACTCAAGCTTTTTCCGCCAAAGTTATCGGTAAAACAAAATATAATATGAAATCTTTTTAAAGGTTTAAGGGTCAATATTTATTATATATATATTCTCCAATATATTCTCCAATGTTTTAGATAAATAATCTGATCGATCAATTCAGAAAATAATGTTTTAAGTTAAGACTCATTGTGACACATTGCCACCCTCACACTTTGGAAAAATGCTTTGATTGTGCTTTTCGTTTATGTCAACAAACTTTTGAACGCCCACTAGCTGAGAAACTGATATCTGGTAGTCAGGGAAATCGACTAAAATGTTCTCTTAATTTTTTACTCAAAAGAGTAACAAATTTAATGGAGTTAAAAATGTATATTTTAAAGATAAAGATTGCTTTCACATTATCCTATTGCATTATATTTATTTCTGTGCACGAAGGCCTGTTGCTGTAATTAATGAGACAATTAGTTCGAACTTGCGGGTAAAAGTTCACTGCTTCAGTTAGTTCAAAAAGTCATACTAATAAGGGAAATGTGATAACCTTATTGGCCTACATTTACCCTATTATACATATATGCTATATCAAGGACCCATCCTTATAATACCCCTTCCTTAACGTTTATAAGGAACCATCTTTTTTGGCTTTCAGTTGCATTAGTTAAGTATACCCCTCTATCATAAAGTAATGATATAATAAGGCACTTTATATTTTCAACCGCGTTTCTTTGGAATGTAACTAAGCTAATTATGTGCTTAGTGGCAACTTAAAGCCCTACCAAGACAGGCGGGACAACGAACCCAGAAGAGACATCCAAATGACATCCTGCCAGCGAAGCGAATGAAGAGCCTGCTCCTTTTAAATGCATCCGCCTTTGAGAGATTCTCACCGGAAGTCCCGCGGTGTCTGTGCCAGACGGAATGGAATTGGAATGGAGATTGCCACCGGGGCTTTGGACCAGATTCCTTACACCAGATGCCAAATGCGGGGTGCCAATGACACCAAGACAGAGGCCTAGGCTCGGCATTGGAGCAAAACATGAATTCCGGCTGCGTGCAATGACTCTTTGTGAATTAAATAAGCGGCTGCCAAGCGTAAATATAACAGTTTAGGAAGCCTAGCTCAACACTTTAATACTCTTGCTTAATTTCGCCAGATTAATATGAGTCAGGGACTTGCACAGGCTATTACCGGAAAATTATAATATTATATATTTTCTAACAGAAGCTTCATTATAAATGAAGCATATTATGAGGAGGAGATAAATAAACTTTCCTCTTACATGGATTTTACATTTCGGTTTTATGATTTTTTACTTTCTATGTAAAAATTGCCAAATAAAAGTCTGCCGTTTCTGATACCAAAAGGTTTTCAGGAGGGCAAGGCACTATCAAATAGAAAATGGGCGCGAAAAGTTGTTGTATGTGTGTATGTAAGAGAGAACAAACCAAAAGGATGCATGGTTTTTTCATTGCTTTTCTAATTTCTGAACAAAACAATAACTACCTTCGTAGGAGCAAGTAAAAATCATCATTGGAATAATTTTGCTCGTGTTACATAGATGTGTGTCCAATTGGAAAAGGTAATGTAAAATAGATCAATCCCCAGGGAGTTACAGCTTAGTTTAAATGTAAATTTAAACTTTGAAACACTCATTGCCAGAAGCTGTTGGTCAACTTACCCATTTCAATGGCTGTGAATTTTTACCAGTCTCCGAAATGAAGTTCAATCATTTAATTGTCGCCAACTGGCAATGCAAGTGGCTCTGCACTGCAATTTTTTAGTTGCGTTGGAATTTCTGAAGCCTTTTGCATTTGCTTGTATGTATACACAAACGCACAAACACCTCGCTCTACTTGGTAAACTCGAAACAAGTTTTAAGGTGTGAGCTTCACAGTGGAGGGGGAATTAAACTCGCGTTTAAGCCGTCTATTGGATTCTATTCACTTGGATGCTATTCAATTGCGATCGAAAACGAAACCACAGGAGGTTAAACTAATTTAGCTTAATTGTATCCGCTAGTACGCATTTATTATCTTAGGCCAGCGAAGCATCCAACTGAATTCGTCCAAAAACAAATAGTATCTACACAATTACGAGAGTATCGAAGTGGTGAAGACACATACATCGGTAGTACTATCGATGTTTTGGTATTTTTTTCAGAACTGGTCGAATTACAATATACTTCAAGTTTTACTTGAATTAACCACTACTTTGAACCCAAATACTACGGTCATATTTTGTTAATTAAAATACAAACTAACTCTATATTTATTATTTATTGAACACATTTCTAGTCCGCACAAACGCAGGATCACTTACAGTACAGCGATCAAAGCAGATTGCAAAAAGTTAACAAGCTTATATTCTCATGAGACACCTTCTATCGAAAATATCGAACAACAATAATTCGAACTAGGTGCTTAATTGACCCCTTTTTCAAACATAGACCCTGTTCGATCGAAAATCCATCTCTAGCTCAAGCTTCAGCTATCGATAGACCTCGGTGTAACCGATAGTTCTAGCCATCTATCGCCTGTTGGTCGTCGGTGAATTTATTGCAAAAAGAAACTAAGCTAGCATTTTAGATGCCGCATTAGGCGTACTCCGGGCTGTGCCAGTACTCTGACCACATATTAAGCAGCCGGAAAAGCCATACAAGCGATGAACAGGACGTGAGAGCAGCTGATTTGTGAACCGGCCCTCCATATTCCACGTACTTGTTGTATCTGCTCGGCATTGCACTTCGAGACCCGACAGAATATACATATGTTTTCCGGCCAAAAGCAGCGCATTGAATCACTGTGACGACTGCACAAGTAGCAGCTCCATTAGCTTACGCAAGCAATTCGGGGGTGGAGGTGGTTTCGATGATCGGTCACTGAGACCGCTGTCCAGAAGATTGGTCGTTCAGACAGGCAGAAGAGCCACCCAGCAAACATGCTGCACGTCCTGTTTTCCGTTTTCCTGATGGCCACGGCCTCGACGGCCGGGGACTCCCTTCAGCGTAGCCGGCGAGCCGCCATCGACGTGGATAACGCGAAAGACATGCACAGCATTATTGACCTCGCCGAGTGCCAGAATCTCAAGAAGCTCTGCACGCACCACAAGTCCACCGACAATCTGTCTATGCTGGAGTGCGCCCTGACCTTCAGCTCCAGCCAGTTGGAGGAACTCCCGGAGAGCTGCCAGAACGCGCTGTGGCTGCAACAGCGTCAGTTGCAGTTGCCCGCCTGGTTAGAGACTACCTTCCTGCCCGCCTATTGTCCCGCCGAGCGATCCAAGCTGGAAAGCTGCCTGAACGCAGTGCACCTGTGGAGCTGCCTGGAGCAGCAGCGATTAAAGCTACCCCAGAACAACGCCTGCCATCAGCACCTTCGAAGGGCCTACGAGTCTTTGGGGCAGGACTACAGCGCCGTGGATGAGTTCTACACCGCCTGTGGAACGCTCGTGGAGGAGAACAAGTGCGGCCGACTGAATATCGACCACCTGCCATCCGTGCTGTCACAGCTTGGCACGGTACAATGCCTGCAGGAGAGTGTCGCCAAGACCGGCATCGAACAAGTTTGCCAGGCAGCCATCAATTCCATTGAGCTTCAGCGCGGTATGCTGGAGCTCTTTCGCGTCTGCCAGGAGGATTTCTCGTCCTTGTGCTCGCAGGTGAGTGGGATTCAAAAGGCAACCATGTGTTTTTGAGCTAGTCTTATAAATTAAATATGCTTTGAGATTGAAAGTAAAGACATGCCTCGAGGGTCATTAGTTGAAAGGCAATGAGAATCTTTTTTGATTTGTCTAACTTAAAGTACTGCAGATAAGATTAGCGTGAATGAGTAACAAAATTATTTAAATTACGCTGTATCAAGTATATATATATATCTACAGGGAAAATTATGTGATCACGTAATAGTTTTAATAAATTATTCGTTTTATTCAATTATTTATTTCATATCAGTTTATGAACACATCTTTAGCACAATAAAGAATAAAAACTAAACGAAAAATTATATTGTTACAGGAAAAGCCCGGCACTGCTGCCGGGTTCAAGTGCCTCGTGCGGCACAAGATCCACCCCTCGATGTCGTCCCAGTGCTCTGCGCAAATAACTTTGAGGGACCAGCAAATGGGCCGCGACTACCGCGTGTCACACGGTCTGGCTAAGGCGTGTAAGGATGACATCAAATTGTATCATTGCCGGCGAGGCGTCTCTGAAGACAAACACGTGCGGTTGGCTCAAATCCTGCTCTGCCTGGAGTCGGTGTCCAAGAACGGGACCAAGCTGGCGCCCGCTTGTCTCACTGAACTAACAGATCACCGGCGCATGCTGATGACCGACTACCAGCTGTCACCTGAGCTGCTGAACGACTGTGCTGATGACATACCTAAGTTCTGTCCAGACGAGCACAAGGCGCAGCTAGTGAATGGCATGACAAGTACAGGTGGAGAGATCATCCACTGCCTGCTGGAGCACGTCAAGGCAAGGCGTCAGCAGAGACGGGTAACGGCACAATGCCAGCGGGGATTGGAGACCCTGATTAAGGCCAGCGATGCTGGCGAGGACTGGCGAGTCGATCCGGTACTTAGACGCGCGTGCAAACCCGTGGTGGATGTGGCCTGCAAGGATGTGCAGGGAGGAGACGCACGAGTCATGGGCTGTCTGATGGAGCACATTGGCACCCCAGTTATGCTACCCGATTGTGAGCAGGCACTTCTTATTATTGAGTATTTCGTAGCTAGAGACTTCAAGTTGGATCCCCAGTTGTATAAACACTGCCGCGACGACGCAGTAAAGTATTGCCGTGCAAAAAGACAATGGGATGATGCGCAGAACATTCAAATGGATCCAGAAAGGGGACCCATGATCCTTCCCTGCCTACATCGTATGGCCTTCAGCGAGGACGAGCACCAGACTTTGAGAAAGGACTGTTTTAAAGAAGTCAAACGAGTGATGAGACAACGCGCTATATCCATGGACTTGATTCCTGAGGTCGAGGATTATTGCCTAAACGATCTTTCTGCGTTCTGCTCGGACTGCACTGAGAAGGGAAGTGAAATGGAGTGTCTGCAAAAGAACATGGACCAACTGCAGCCTGAGTGCAAGACAGTGGTGGTCAAGTATACGGAGGAGGAGGCAGCTCACGTCGAGCTCAACCCCGTAATAATGAACGTCTGCGGAGAGGCCATGCAGCAGCACTGCTCGGCGATCCTCAAAAGCGGAAAGGACAACGGTAAAAAATGGAGATTTAAATTGTTTAAAAATATAAAATTTTTGGCACTCAAATATGTAATCGATTTTCAGGCGACATGATGGACTGTCTTATAGCGCACAAAAACGACGCTGATCTGCGCAAGGATCTGCGTTGTCGGGCTGCCATCGAGCACTTCCAGATCATCTCGCTTAAGAGCTTCCACTTTACTACAAAGTTTAAAGAGGCGTGCCGTCCGTATGTCCAGCGCTTCTGCTCCTCGAGTGCCACCAAAAACGAAGTGGTAGCTTGCCTCAGTGAGGTTATGCGCAACGACACCATCAACGCGCAGCGTCACCAGATCCCCAAGGAGTGCCGCCACCAGGTAAAGGCCCAACTCTACCAGCAGCGCGAGAGCATTCAACTGGACCCCAAGCTAGCCAACGCCTGTAAGCGCGAACTGGAGCAATTTTGCGAGGAGGAAAAGGGGCCCGGTCAGGTGAATGAAAAAGCAAGTTGTCTAACTCATCCTTAACCACTAATACGCTTAAACAAAAAATATGGTATATGTTGATTTAGTTACTTAGCGGAAGAAATATGTGGCTATGCAAATAGCCAAATAGCATTCTTTCCTAAGATAACTTTACGCATTATGACTTTCGCTTTAGGCATTTGACACTCACATCACAAACAAATATGTAATCAGTATCACTTACCAAATTCTATGTTTACTACTTTTGCAGGCTCTGGAGTGCCTTATAAGAAAGACTCATACTTTAGGGAAGCCGTGTCATCATGCGATCTTCATGGTAAAGAAATCAGAGTTGGGCGACAGTGGCACTGACTATACGCTTCTCACCACGTGCAAGGAAATGATCTACAAGTTCTGTCCTAGCACTGATTCGTCAAAACTACTGGACTGCCTCAAGACGTACAAGGATGACACGCAGTTTGACCAGCGGTGTCACCTTGTAGTGGTTAATCGCATGATCGAACAGAATACGGATTTCCGATTCAATCCCTCACTGCAAAGCGCCTGCGGAAAGAACATTGATCGGTATTGCTCCAACATCGTGGCCAGCGCTATGCCTAATGAGGAACTAAACGGAAAGGTGAGTGGAATGCCCAAGTTTTGGAACTAAAAGTGGTTGAGGACTAATTTTACTACACAATAAGGGGTTTTCATGGTTTTGCTTTTCATGGTTTACTAAGCTAAAGAGTATTCGCCTTCATTTACAATTTAAAACAAGATAGAATGCCATAGTCGAGCTCCCCGACTATCAGATACCCGTTACTCAGCTAGTAGAAGTGCAAACGAGAAATTTTAAAATTTTCTGGAATATCGGTAGAAGTTGGGAAAAAAATAATAAAATGAAAAAAAGTTAACATTTTTTCAGAAGTGTGTGCGTGACAGTTTTGAGCGGTTTGTTGGCGTGGCATTTGGAAACAAACTTGCGCTGCATGCTTAATCTTAACATTCTAGTTTTTTTAGTTTTAGAGATCGAGGCGTTCATACGGACAGACGGTCATGGGCAGATCGACTCGGCTATTGATCCTGATCAATAATATATATACTTTATATGGTCGGAAACCTTTCAGTCTGCCTGTTACATACTTTTCTAGTATACCCTTTCGCTCTACGAGTAACAGGTATAATGAATTTGTTATTGAAACAATTATTTACACTTCTATCTCGACCATCGCGAATGGTCCCTATTAAAACTCCATGTCTTCTCGCTGTAGTCTTCCATTGTCAGGATCGTCAATTGCGGCCGTTAAAGTATCCAATAAATCTTCACCCTTAGTTACCTCCAAATTAAGTCTGTTATACGGCCCACTTGCGCTGCTCAGCGGCCTTAGATTACTGGGAACACCTTCGATGGCAAATGATGTCCACACATCGACCATTTTTTGTGACATCTGAGTGTCCTCTCCCTCCAGGGGATGGGTGGCGAAAAGGTAGATGTTGTCGTTGGAATGATGTACTCCTCCATTGAAGGGATAGTGCGAGTTGCCGAACTCATATCCAAATCGAGTGTATTGTCCCTCATACTCAAAACTGTAGACATAAACTGGCATGGCCAGTTGTTGGGTGTAAATTTTGGTAGCCAGAGTTATCACTGGGGACTTCATGAAGATGTCTGTAGTAAGCTGAAAAAAAACAAATTTAAACCATCTGTTTCTGCTGTGCTTTGCTCGAACTCACATCGAAGTATGAGGGAACTGCTGCATTGTGATCATGACTGTTAAGCATATGAGGGTTAAAGAGCAACCGACTCAATAGGTTATCCGTGAGTCCCGATGTGTCATTAACTAGATCAAAGATACCCTGTGAAAACTGACGGACACTTAATGAACTTATATTAGACACCTTTACAGCCAGCGAATCATAATAGCCTAGAATATTTATCAATTTTAAAAAAGGCATTCATTGAAGATCCCAATAATAGGTTTACTCACTTGCTAGCACAAAAGAACCATCATGTTGAGTAAATCCTGTCAAAATCGGAATCTGTCTGCGAAAGCTTTTTACCAGCTCACTGGGCTGTTCCGGGAGGATGCCGTGTAAGTCTCCAACAATCGGCGAAAAAGATTCTGAGGTCGTCGCCCTTAGAATGTCTATAACTTTCGCTTTTTGCAAGCACTTCACGAGCTGATCGTGTTGCTCGCAGCTAGAACATCCCAGCTGAACACAGATACGTCGAGATTGCGCCTCCGGATCCTTGTTGATTGCCCAGCTGGCGAAGATCGAACCTGACTGCACGATTGCTCTCCTGAACATGTTGTCGCCAGTTTTGGGACTCAGCAGTAAGGAACTGGCTATTCCAGCGCCAGCACTCTGCCCAAAAATTGTCACCTTCTGAGGGTCACCGCCAAAGCTACTTATGTGCATGTGCACCCAGTCGATAGCCATAAGGATATCCGCTATGGGCGCATTGCCGGGCAGCTCTTCCGTGTATGTCGATAGCCACCCGAGGGCTCCCACACGGTACTGAGGTACAACTAGGACAACATCCTTCTCGAGGAGGTAGTTCGGTGGGTGATCCTCGGAGGAGCCATTGTAGAAGCCGCCGCCGTAGATGTAAAGCATTACAGGCTGGCTAGCAGATAGCTAAAAAGAATATCTTTCATTAGACTCGTTTAGCATATTAATTATGATTAATGTCCGTTTCACAATCGCATAAGTTTAAAGCTCTAATCTCAATCCTTTTTAAACCAATATGCTCTTTGTGCATCTGAATTTGGCTCATCATTATTAGTAAGACTAATTTGGACTCACATTTTTAGTGTATACTGACAGATTGAGACAATCTTCGAGTTCCGCATCGGACTTCTGGCTATCTAGATTTGTTATCACGGGACAGCGTTGTCCAAAGTTCAGTGCGTTGAAGGTGCCTGTCCATGGTGAGCGCGCCACAGGTGGCTATTCGCGAAATAAAGAAAAGAAAGCATTTGTATTTCGTCATACACTAGCTTATCAGTAATTGTGAATATAATTAGCACTACAGAATTATTAGAAAGACTTCGAAACTGGTATACCCTCACCACAGTAACATTTCTAAGTTATCCTAAATTGATCTTTATAATAGTCTATATAATCTATACTGTCATAGAACCACACGATTCACCACACGTTCTAAAGAGGTAAGGGTATATAAACTTCGACCTCACATTGGATGCATTGTTTGTTTTTATTTTAAAACCAGTCCTTGACTTTTGGTAGTGTTTTGATTTGACTGCACTTAAAATTATATAGCTCAAACATTCATTTGGAAACTTATGTAAAAGTTACAGCCACGTTAATTTTCATTGAGAATAACATTCTTCCCCGGAAGCAAACATTAGTTCGAGTAAGATTGAACAACCTGTGAATCTTCAACTAATGGAATAATTTGGTTTGGGCTTGAAAGAAAATTACCCCGAAGTTTTACATTAGTTGTAACTTTCAGCACTGAAATGTTTACACAAATTAGTTAGTTTACCCGAAAACGCAGCTCCTCCACTGGTGGTTCGGCAAAGGGGATGCCACGAAACTGCATAAAAGCCTGATCCGTCCAGGCTGTGTAAGCATGATTCCCAATAACCGCCCCCTGACCATTGGATAGTTCCACTGTCACCGTAGCTGTTTCGGATGCCTCGGCACCCTGGCCGCCGGTGAGGAATATCACAAGAAAGGCTGTTAGCCCAGCGGTTAGAACCCCGCACAGCGTCAGCATCACGTATACGCCGCGTCTACGCATCAGACCTTACTGATTCGACTTCGAACGAGGACTGAATCGAGAATGAAACGCTGATGGCTAACAAATTGCCGGCTTATATGAAAGGCAGTGACGGGCACAACGTGAGATTTTAGTTGTTTTCTTTTTATTTTTGGAATCTCTAATCACATGTGCTCCCTTATCTCTGTTGCCGTATAGTATTCCCTGCCAATAAAACAAACCTTTCAATTGAGTATAATTTAACAAGTCAAAACATTTTGATACCCTTTACTCCTAGAGTAAAAAGGTATACTAGATTCGTTGAACAGTATACAACGGGTAGTTAAACCTTGGATCTGGCGATCTGGTCTTTCCGTTGGTATAAACGCTGTAACCTCGGGAACTATAAAAACTAAAATGTTTAGATTAAGTAGATTAATTAGATTAAGCAGGTTCTAGTGACGCCTACGCTGTGCAAATTTGTTTCAATTTGTTTAAACGCCCATAAACCGCAAAAAGAGCTGTCAGGCCCAAAATAATTTTGAAACTTCTTCCTGCACCCGCACTAGCTGAATAACGGGTATCTGATAGTCGAGGAACTCTACAATAGCGTTCTCCCTCGTTCTAAAGTACTTTTAAAACAGTGTATTGTCACCCCTTATCTAAGCCCCACCACTTTTTAGCATAATAAGCTTCATAGATTTTTAGTTAATATATTAATTTAGTAGACGACTCTTGAACCTTGATTTTTTTTCAATTAATACTTTATTTTGTTTCAATGTCTTGTAGGTTATTCGCTGTCTAAAAGACAAGTTCCGTCAATCTGCGCTTGACGAACCTTGTGCGCAGGAGATGATCAAGATCCTGCAGGAGCAGGCTCTGAACTACAAGTTGAATCCCCTGCTGCAGGTATTCTGCAAGTCGGAGATCCAGGAACTGTGCAAGGCAAATGTGGATTCCGACGAGCACGGCCAGCTGGCGGAGTGCTTAAAGACGGCATTCCTGCAAAAGCAGATTATAAACCGGGAGTGCCAGATGGAGGTGGCCACTTTGATCGCCGAAGCCAAGGCAGACATTCACGTTGATCCCATTCTCGAAACGGCATGTACGGTCGATCTACTGAGATACTGTTCCAAAGTTGCAGCTGGCAATGGACGCAGTGAGTTTAAATAATATATATTATATATAAGTGAGTTGGGGTGCTGATCGATTGTTCCCAATGCTAGTTGTTATTATGAGCAGACAGAAAAATAGCAAAAACGAAATTTGTTAAAAATGGTATTACCTCATAAATGCAAATTTATTTATTTATATAGCGGCTTTAATTTGTTTTTTTTTTTTTATTAGATATTATTGTAATTTAATCCCTTAGTCAAATATGAAAATAATATTTAATGTTTATTATCTCTCTCCTTTAGAACTTAATTGCCTCAGAACGCTGCTAAAGGATACGCCAAACTCGTTAGAAGTGGACTGCCGAGAAAAGCTGCAGCGACGCATCGAGATGTTTAGAAACGCAGACGACACGTTGGCGGCGCCGCCCGAAGATGTGCAGCAGCTGGTGCAACAGGTCGTCGCCTCGCCGGCACGGAAATTCTTTCTTGTGATACTAATGAGCGCCACGGGCCTGGTCTTCCTTACCGGCATCTTCCTGGGACGTGCCACCAAACGCGCAATGGGCTTGAAGAATAAATAATTCAAATATTAGACTGTAGTGTCGCTGTGTAGGCGGAGTGTGCATGTTTGTGAGCTTGTTGTTTTCCATTTCGGCTGACCCATGACCCCATTCCGATTCGTATAAGTATATTTTCACTCCACCCTGCCTGCCTTTCGATATTAGTGTGAGCAATTTGTGGCTTAGTCGTTTGTAAGACCAAAAAAAACCGAAAAAGGAGAACACAATAAAAATATTCTAGTTCCATTCTTAGGGCTCTTTGCGTTATAGCTTTTTGTAATTTCATTTGTATATTAAAATGTATTTTTGTAAACAAAAAACCTCTTCTTTTTATTTATTTCCACATTACGGCATCAACAGGTGTTTTTGGACCAGAATCAGCAAGCATTGAGTACAACTTTTAAGTAAAACTAAGAAAATGCAAACAAATGGACAATAGCGGCTTATCCATTTAATCAATTACCTAGAAGGAAACTAAAAGTTTAAAACTGATATTAATGTTATAATTTCCGCAGAAAGCTCAATTCCCTTCCTCTTTGTGCTTATAAAAATTCAAATGTGTTGATAGTCTAGGGTTTACTTTAATTTTCCCCCAAATACTACAAGACACGTCAAGGTAGATGTTGTCGTTGGAATGATGTACTCCTCCATTGAAGGGATAGTGCGAGTTGCCGAACTCATATCCAAATCGAGTGTATTGTCCCTCATACTCAAAACTGTAGACATAAACTGGCATGGCCAGTTGTTGGGTGTAAATTTTGGTAGCCAGAGTTATCACTGGGGACTTCATGAAGATGTCTGTAGTAAGCTGAAAAAAAACAAATTTAAACCATCTGTTTCTGCTGTGCTTTGCTCGAACTCACATCGAAGTATGAGGGAACTGCTGCATTGTGATCATGACTGTTAAGCATATGAGGGTTAAAGAGCAACCGACTCAATAGGTTATCCGTGAGTCCCGATGTGTCATTAACTAGATCAAAGATACCCTGTGAAAACTGACGGACACTTAATGAACTTATATTAGACACCTTTACAGCCAGCGAATCATAATAGCCTAGAATATTTATCAATTTTAAAAAAGGCATTCATTGAAGATCCCAATAATAGGTTTACTCACTTGCTAGCACAAAAGAACCATCATGTTGAGTAAATCCTGTCAAAATCGGAATCTGTCTGCGAAAGCTTTTTACCAGCTCACTGGGCTGTTCCGGGAGGATGCCGTGTAAGTCTCCAACAATCGGCGAAAAAGATTCTGAGGTCGTCGCCCTTAGAATGTCTATAACTTTCGCTTTTTGCAAGCACTTCACGAGCTGATCGTGTTGCTCGCAGCTAGAACATCCCAGCTGAACACAGATACGTCGAGATTGCGCCTCCGGATCCTTGTTGATTGCCCAGCTGGCGAAGATCGAACCTGACTGCACGATTGCTCTCCTGAACATGTTGTCGCCAGTTTTGGGACTCAGCAGTAAGGAACTGGCTATTCCAGCGCCAGCACTCTGCCCAAAAATTGTCACCTTCTGAGGGTCACCGCCAAAGCTACTTATGTGCATGTGCACCCAGTCGATAGCCATAAGGATATCCGCTATGGGCGCATTGCCGGGCAGCTCTTCCGTGTATGTCGATAGCCACCCGAGGGCTCCCACACGGTACTGAGGTACAACTAGGACAACATCCTTCTCGAGGAGGTAGTTCGGTGGGTGATCCTCGGAGGAGCCATTGTAGAAGCCGCCGCCGTAGATGTAAAGCATTACAGGCTGGCTAGCAGATAGCTAAAAAGAATATCTTTCATTAGACTCGTTTAGCATATTAATTATGATTAATGTCCGTTTCACAATCGCATAAGTTTAAAGCTCTAATCTCAATCCTTTTTAAACCAATATGCTCTTTGTGCATCTGAATTTGGCTCATCATTATTAGTAAGACTAATTTGGACTCACATTTTTAGTGTATACTGACAGATTGAGACAATCTTCGAGTTCCGCATCGGACTTCTGGCTATCTAGATTTGTTATCACGGGACAGCGTTGTCCAAAGTTCAGTGCGTTGAAGGTGCCTGTCCATGGTGAGCGCGCCACAGGTGGCTATTCGCGAAATAAAGAAAAGAAAGCATTTGTATTTCGTCATACACTAGCTTATCAGTAATTGTGAATATAATTAGCACTACAGAATTATTAGAAAGACTTCGAAACTGGTATACCCTCACCACAGTAACATTTCTAAGTTATCCTAAATTGATCTTTATAATAGTCTATATAATCTATACTGTCATAGAACCACACGATTCACCACACGTTCTAAAGAGGTAAGGGTATATAAACTTCGACCTCACATTGGATGCATTGTTTGTTTTTATTTTAAAACCAGTCCTTGACTTTTGGTAGTGTTTTGATTTGACTGCACTTAAAATTATATAGCTCAAACATTCATTTGGAAACTTATGTAAAAGTTACAGCCACGTTAATTTTCATTGAGAATAACATTCTTCCCCGGAAGCAAACATTAGTTCGAGTAAGATTGAACAACCTGTGAATCTTCAACTAATGGAATAATTTGGTTTGGGCTTGAAAGAAAATTACCCCGAAGTTTTACATTAGTTGTAACTTTCAGCACTGAAATGTTTACACAAATTAGTTAGTTTACCCGAAAACGCAGCTCCTCCACTGGTGGTTCGGCAAAGGGGATGCCACGAAACTGCATAAAAGCCTGATCCGTCCAGGCTGTGTAAGCATGATTCCCAATAACCGCCCCCTGACCATTGGATAGTTCCACTGTCACCGTAGCTGTTTCGGATGCCTCGGCACCCTGGCCGCCGGTGAGGAATATCACAAGAAAGGCTGTTAGCCCAGCGGTTAGAACCCCGCACAGCGTCAGCATCACGTATACGCCGCGTCTACGCATCAGACCTTACTGATTCGACTTCGAACGAGGACTGAATCGAGAATGAAACGCTGATGGCTAACAAATTGCCGGCTTATATGAAAGGCAGTGACGGGCACAACGTGAGATTTTAGTTGTTTTCTTTTTATTTTTGGAATCTCTAATCACATGTGCTCCCTTATCTCTGTTGCCGTATAGTATTCCCTGCCAATAAAACAAACCTTTCAATTGAGTATAATTTAACAAGTCAAAACATTTTGATACCCTTTACTCCTAGAGTAAAAAGGTATACTAGATTCGTTGAACAGTATACAACGGGTAGTTAAACCTTGGATCTGGCGATCTGGTCTTTCCGTTGGTATAAACGCTGTAACCTCGGGAACTATAAAAACTAAAATGTTTAGATTAAGTAGATTAATTAGATTAAGCAGGTTCTAGTGACGCCTACGCTGTGCAAATTTGTTTCAATTTGTTTAAACGCCCATAAACCGCAAAAAGAGCTGTCAGGCCCAAAATAATTTTGAAACTTCTTCCTGCACCCGCACTAGCTGAATAACGGGTATCTGATAGTCGAGGAACTCTACAATAGCGTTCTCCCTCGTTCTAAAGTACTTTTAAAACAGTGTATTGTCACCCCTTATCTAAGCCCCACCACTTTTTAGCATAATAAGCTTCATAGATTTTTAGTTAATATATTAATTTAGTAGACGACTCTTGAACCTTGATTTTTTTTCAATTAATACTTTATTTTGTTTCAATGTCTTGTAGGTTATTCGCTGTCTAAAAGACAAGTTCCGTCAATCTGCGCTTGACGAACCTTGTGCGCAGGAGATGATCAAGATCCTGCAGGAGCAGGCTCTGAACTACAAGTTGAATCCCCTGCTGCAGGTATTCTGCAAGTCGGAGATCCAGGAACTGTGCAAGGCAAATGTGGATTCCGACGAGCACGGCCAGCTGGCGGAGTGCTTAAAGACGGCATTCCTGCAAAAGCAGATTATAAACCGGGAGTGCCAGATGGAGGTGGCCACTTTGATCGCCGAAGCCAAGGCAGACATTCACGTTGATCCCATTCTCGAAACGGCATGTACGGTCGATCTACTGAGATACTGTTCCAAAGTTGCAGCTGGCAATGGACGCAGTGAGTTTAAATAATATATATTATATATAAGTGAGTTGGGGTGCTGATCGATTGTTCCCAATGCTAGTTGTTATTATGAGCAGACAGAAAAATAGCAAAAACGAAATTTGTTAAAAATGGTATTACCTCATAAATGCAAATTTATTTATTTATATAGCGGCTTTAATTTGTTTTTTTTTTTTTATTAGATATTATTGTAATTTAATCCCTTAGTCAAATATGAAAATAATATTTAATGTTTATTATCTCTCTCCTTTAGAACTTAATTGCCTCAGAACGCTGCTAAAGGATACGCCAAACTCGTTAGAAGTGGACTGCCGAGAAAAGCTGCAGCGACGCATCGAGATGTTTAGAAACGCAGACGACACGTTGGCGGCGCCGCCCGAAGATGTGCAGCAGCTGGTGCAACAGGTCGTCGCCTCGCCGGCACGGAAATTCTTTCTTGTGATACTAATGAGCGCCACGGGCCTGGTCTTCCTTACCGGCATCTTCCTGGGACGTGCCACCAAACGCGCAATGGGCTTGAAGAATAAATAATTCAAATATTAGACTGTAGTGTCGCTGTGTAGGCGGAGTGTGCATGTTTGTGAGCTTGTTGTTTTCCATTTCGGCTGACCCATGACCCCATTCCGATTCGTATAAGTATATTTTCACTCCACCCTGCCTGCCTTTCGATATTAGTGTGAGCAATTTGTGGCTTAGTCGTTTGTAAGACCAAAAAAAACCGAAAAAGGAGAACACAATAAAAATATTCTAGTTCCATTCTTAGGGCTCTTTGCGTTATAGCTTTTTGTAATTTCATTTGTATATTAAAATGTATTTTTGTAAACAAAAAACCTCTTCTTTTTATTTATTTCCACATTACGGCATCAACAGGTGTTTTTGGACCAGAATCAGCAAGCATTGAGTACAACTTTTAAGTAAAACTAAGAAAATGCAAACAAATGGACAATAGCGGCTTATCCATTTAATCAATTACCTAGAAGGAAACTAAAAGTTTAAAACTGATATTAATGTTATAATTTCCGCAGAAAGCTCAATTCCCTTCCTCTTTGTGCTTATAAAAATTCAAATGTGTTGATAGTCTAGGGTTTACTTTAATTTTCCCCCAAATACTACAAGACACGTCATTGTTATAATTGATATAACAATTACTTATAATATTATCCTGTTATGTCCTTAATATTTTTAGATGATTCATGTAATGGTTATACATTACCGTTAAAAATTCAACAAACTCCTGCAGTTCTACAGGTGGTTTAGTATATGTTTGGTATATTTGGATAATAAGCTGCCTATTTCTGGTATATTCAACCCGATGGTATGTTGGAAAAGCTCAACGGCGGTCACACTGCTCACAAGTCATTTGGAACAAGAAGATTTTTTTGCGTTAGAAAAGGTTCAAAATAGGCACAAAGTGTCTGAAAATAACATAACTGATCGGGAATAGCATACATTTAACCAAGTGCCTCAAAAATTTGTGTTTTAAAAACACAAGAATGGTGATAGCAGACGTCCAATAAGAATTTTCAAAGAGCCAAGTAAGCAAGACCACTTTATTCACCTCACAGACACCCACACAGATGCAGCCGAAACAGGTTCTATTAAAATAGCTAACGTAGCAACTACAGCAGAGTTCAAAATAGTAGCACCTTTGTAGGGAACAGCTTTGGTGTTATATATTGTGTAAATTTCAATGAATGCGATAGTAAATAACCAACTCATACCATCTCTTTAAAATTCTGTTTTTCGCTTGTAATACAATACAATACAAATTGGTTTCAGGTATTTGTACAGCCGACGACTATTTTTTAGCCGCCTGCTGTGGCGACAATGGACGGCGTTAAGGTTGAGGCGTTCATCAAAAGCGAAGGTGAGTCCAGTCACCCGAGCTATTGCACCTTGGAGGCCATTCTAATGCGACTGTTGCCATTGCCCTCTGACCTTGCAGAAAACCGAGCGATGCCCTTAATAGGAGGAGGCAGTGCCTCTGGCGGCACTGCGCTGCCAGGTGGCGGCGTGGGAATGGGACCTGGAGCATCCGCCACGCTGAGCGTGGAGCTGTGTCTGGTGTGCGGGGACCGCGCCTCCGGGCGGCACTATGGAGCCATAAGCTGCGAGGGTTGCAAGGGATTCTTCAAGCGCTCGATCCGGAAGCAGCTGGGCTACCAGTGTCGCGGGGCCATGAACTGCGAGGTCATCAAGCACCACAGGAATCGGTGCCAGTTCTGTCGACTACAGAAGTGCCTGGCCAGCGGCATGCGAAGTGATTGTAATTTTCGTTTAAGTCGTCGTCTCAAGCTATAACCAATCTCTGGCCTGGTCAGAGTCTACGTGCTCCAGCAGGCTTTATCAGAATTGCATTGTTTAAGTCAGGGGATGTCATATAGCATTTAAATCTGCCAAGTAATGGAACGATAAGAACTGAGTTTCTCAGAGCGTCATTAAGAACATATTTGATAAATCGAATTAGTCTTTTATATCTGCCCAGTTTCTCAAACACAATCTATGCTAAGTGCATTTTACGCCAAGTAAACACGTGAATCTAACATGTGAATTCGCTTCTGTAACGTGAATACCCACTTTAATAACTTGCACATCTTAAAACTGCAGCAGCGGGAGCACAAAAAATTCCCAGCCTGCACACACAGTAACCAATTCACCCACTTACTCACCTTCACCTCGCCTGGAAAATCATCAAACCGCATCCACATCTCACTTCGTGCTCTAATTAATTGTCTTCCGTTTTCTTCAACTCTGGTTCACAGCTGTGCAGCACGAGAGGAAACCGATTGTGGACAGAAAAGAGGGGATCATCGCCACTGCCGGAGGTTCATCCACTTCTGGCGGGGGTGGGAGCTCGTCCACTTACCTTTCCGGCAAGTCCGGCTATCAGCAGGGACGTGGCAAGGGGCACAGTGTGAAGGCAGAATCCGCGGCCACGCCTCCAGTACACAGCACGCCGGCAACGCCATTCAATTTGAATGAGAATATATTCCCAATGGGGCTGAATTTCGCAGAATTAACGCAGACATTGAGTAAGTGGAACTTTGATTTACATACTTGCACGTGAAAAAGGTGACTTCTGCAGATTGGTCATGTACATATAACTGCAATGATTGAACATAATTTAACTTCTTTCAAACGAATTTATAATCTCTTACTTTACAGTGTTCGCTACCCAACAGCAGCAGCAACAACAACAGCAGCAGCAACAAAGTGGCAGCTTTTCTCCAGATATTCCGAAGGCAGATCCCGAGGATGACGAGGACGACTCCATGGACAACAGCAGCACACTGTGCCTGCAGTTGCTCGCTAACAGTGCCAGCAACAACAACTCGCAACACCTTAACTTTAATGCCGGGGAAGCACCCACCGCTCTGCCGACCACCTCGACAATGGGCCTTATACAGAGTTCGCTGGACATGCGGGTCATTCACAAGGGGCTGCAGATCCTGCAGCCCATCCAAAATCAATTGGAGCGAAGTGGCAATCTGAGTGTGAAGCCCGAGTGCGATTCTGAGGCGGAGGACAGTGGCACCGAGGATGCCGTAGATGCGGAGCTGGAGCACATGGATATAGACTTTGAGTGCGGTGGCAACCGAAGCGGCGGAAGCGATTTTGTAATCAATGAGACGGTCTTTGAACAGGATCTTCTTACCGATACGCAGTGTGCCTTTCATGTTCAACCGCCCACTTTGGTCCACTCCTATTTAAATATCCATTATGTGTGTGAAACGGGCTCGCGAATCATCTTTCTCACCATCCATACCCTTCGAAAGGTTCCAGTTTTCGAACAATTGGAAGCCCATACCCAGGTAAAACTGTTGAGAGGAGTCTGGCCAGCTTTGATGGCTATAGCCTTGGCTCAGTGTCAGGGGCAGCTATCGGTGCCCACCATTATCGGGCAGTTTATTCAAAGCACTCGCCAGCTAGCGGATATCGATAAGATCGAACCGCTGAAGATCTCCAAGATGGCCAATCTCACCAGAACCTTACACGACTTTGTCCAGGAGCTCCAGTCACTGGAGGTCACTGATATGGAGTTTGGCTTGTTGCGTCTGATCTTGCTGTTTAATCCCACGCTCTTGCAGCAGCGCAAGGAGCGGTCGTTGCGAGGCTACGTCCGCAGAGTCCAACTCTACGCTCTGTCGAGTCTGAGAAGGCAGGGAGGCATCGGGTGCGGAGAAGAGCGTTTTAATGTTCTGGTGGCTCGACTTCTTCCGCTGAGCAGCCTGGACGCAGAGGCCATGGAGGAGCTGTTTTTCGCCAACTTGGTGGGACAAATGCAGATGGATGCTCTTATTCCGTTTATACTGATGACCAGCAATACCAGTGGACTATAGGCAGAAATGGAGAGAACAGGGGGCAAGCAGATTAGCTAGACCGCCCAAAAGCAAGACTGAAGATGGACCAAGTGCGGGCAATACACGTAGTAATTAGGCAAATCCCATTAAAAATATATTTAATATATACAATATCTACATTAAGAGACAATATTCTAACATAAAACCTTGGGTTTATTGTTGTTCACAGATTAAATGGAATCGATTTCCCAATAAAAGCGAATATGTTTTTGACCAGAGTTTAAAAGTTATCGTTAGATCATTAAAACGTGTATAAGTTTTCTCTTTCCTTTAGTTTATTACAACACATGTTTAAATGAAATTGTAAACTTGGGTGTGGATCTCATTGCTGATCAAATCGAGCACAGAATTGCAGAAAAAGTATACAAAGTCAATAAATGGCAACGTGTAGGGCACATTGTAAAGTGCAACATTACATTTTTATAATTTGTATAAAAATAGTTTGATTGTTTTCTGAAGTAGCTAGACGAACTGCATATAAATATGCATTCGATCTTTACACCTAAATCTAATCTAGGACAAGTGATTACTGTGACTCTTGGGGGGCCTTTCTGGCGGGCTTGTGCTTCTCGTAAACCTCATCGTTAAGTCCCTCCCGATTCCGGGCAATTTCGATGGCCAGAAACTGAACCCGAAACACGAAGATGGAGTTGTCTGGGGAGAATTCCTTGCTGGCATCGGCGCGCATAAGGGTGCCATAAGAATAATCGTCCATCTTGTTAAACTTCTCGGCGAACTGGCGCCACTTGAGCTTCTCCGTTGCGGATTTAAGGATGTCATCCGTAAGCCGGCCAACGTGAAGATCGGGAAAATCCTGCCGGAAAGTGGCGTATATCTGGTCGTCGTAGGGCGTGAGTTTTAGCTGGGAGGGATGGATGCTGGTGATGAGCTGCAGGGAACCCGATAAACCAGTGTCAATTAGCATTCCTTTATATCGTGGAACGTGTACTCACATTGAAGTGCACCTCGGCGTGTTCCAGGGCTTTAGAGGCCCACATTTCCTCCACCAGGGTGTCGTTGCCGAATTCTTCCGCTGGCCGCGACAGCAGCGAAGCTCCGTGCTATTAAGTCCAATAATTAGGATCGGTTTGCTTTTATTTTGGCCGCAACATACCATCATCTCCATTTTTTGGACAAAGCTGCTGCTTATTAACTTTACAAATTATTACAACGAAAAATCACGTTTCATGCTTTGTTTAGTGCAGTGTGACCAGCCGCAAGTCGGTATGAACATCCAACAATATCTTACAAATACTGAATACAATAATAAATTCAACATATATATATATATATTTGAAATTCCTAGCATCTTAGTGTAAGAAGTCCTTTCTCCAATACGCATCGATATATTGTATTTAGAGAGAGAGAAAGGACTTCTTAGAATTTCAAAAGAAAACATAAGAAAGTGAGTTCCATATCAATCTTATTCGCATTGATTTTAGTGTCCGTTTTTTTTTTACATTTCCCTAATCACTTTCAACTTTTTCCACACAACGCCCGTCTTGCTCGAGAGCTGTTTTTATAACTACACACGTTATCAGCACACAACAAAATTTCGGGAATCATGTTCGAAAGCATAAGTTTCTTGTTCCTAGTTGCCCTGGCCTTCGTGGCCTGGGTCCTGCTCTGCTTCCAACACGTCGTCCAGGTCCAGAGGCGAGGCTCCTCCGATTTCCGAGTAGAACTATACACAGGTGAGGAGAGGCATTCCTGCAACAAAGAAGAACCGTCAGCTAGCGGTATAACAATTTTTATAAACAATTCTAGAGTGGAATACAAGAAATTACATTACAACTTGTAACTTTTCACTTCTAAAAACCTAAAAACTATTATTGCTTGAAAGAATCAATAATTTATTTTATATTATTTTTCAATTAGATCAATTTTATCAATTATTTTCAATCGATTTTAAAATAAGACATTCATTAGCAGCTATTTAAGCTGGAGGCATTTAAGAGTTAATCTATATATTATTATAACCGTTACTCGTAAGGTATACTAGATTTGTTTATAGGTATGTAATAGGTATCATGTATTAATTATATGTACATATGGAATTATTTAGTCGATATTATATTTGTCGACTTGGAATTATTAAAACTAAAAAATCTGAAAAAAATCAGAAAAAATCTAAAAAAAATTCGGAGTTCTAAATACTTGCCATTTACTTGATTTACTTGTCCAGAGCGTCCTGGGATTTCGTTTGAGCCGCAGCTGTGCCACAGTCCCTCAGAGCAGAGTCGCTCCAGCAGCACCTACGAGTTCGCGACGAGCTTCGGAGTGATCTTCGCCCTGATCTTTGCTCTGTCCAAGCTGCTCCAACTGGCGGAGTTGCAGGCCAAAAGCTATCTCAGGAGCCACAAGGCCCAGTATCCCGGATCTGCTTCCATAGTGCACGACCCAGTTGCCGAGCAGCAGGCGCCGTGTCAGCAGAACGATCCGAATCCCTTCGAACCCCTGCTGGACCACAATGAAAATCTGAAGGAGCAACTCAGTATCCTGCAATTGCAGTGCCTTGAAATGCGCGAGATTCTGCACGAACTGGAGATCAGCGGCAGCTCCAGTAGCTATGGGAGTTTCAGATCCGGAAATCAGACGCCAATGGCCGAATCCTCTGAAGAATCCATGGTGGTGTGGAGGCGAACGGACCCCATGACTGATACAGTCTCGGGTTCATTGCACGCCGAGAAAGTCAATTCCCCCTCCACCCAAAACATCTACATCACCAACAGCCACATCCACATCAACGGACAAGTCTACCTGACCGAGAACCACGTGAACGTCGAGCTCTGTCAAAAGGGATTTATGTTCGGTCAAAGGCAGAGCGAGTTCCTCCAGGTGGCGGGAATGTTCATCTCCGGACCCAAGAAACTACCCATGATTGCGGGTCTGCGGTGCAACAACATCCTCATCTGAGGAGTCGCCAAATTCATCCACAATACTCGGAATAAACAATCTTACTAACACTTCAAAAACGTTTTTCTTGACTACTTGATTACGAGAGTACGTGAATTCACTCCTTTTTACTTAGAAAGTTGATATTTTGGTTTTGAAATGGTTTTGGGTCTTTGTAGCTATGGGTCATTCGGACTCGGCCATAGTAAATGGGAACTTCGGTACTACTTCCTTTACAATGTTCTATTTTATTCCATGTTATTGATTGATCCATATAAATTGATTAATTTTATTCAGGGCTAGCGGTCGCTAGAAGCATCTGGTTTTAAAATTTAGTTTTCTTCAAATATAGTTACTTTTACCTGCGTATAACACATTATGCATTGACCTGCATGGATATACATGATATCTTAAGATTTGGGATCCATCATAAAATGATTAGCGCAGCTGTTGGAAAGTCCTTTATGAGGTTACCTAATTCAGGTACCTTTGGTAAAAATGCTGCCCATTTTACATCGCCAAACGATGTATGGACATGTATATAAGGCATACGTCTTACCTATTCACATCAGAAGGAGTACAACTCGTGTAAAAGTCACATCTCTACAGATTGTTCAGATTGTTAATTGCTGTGCTAATTGCCACTATTTGAAGAACCCACCTGCAGTAAACAAGCACGAATATATGTTCGGGTAAGTTTATCGAATACAGAAAGTTTTCCAAATTTTGGTGCCTCGATGAGTCTATACGCATGTCAGGAACTACAGAAGCGAGAGATTTAGCATTCAGCTTGTAGATTCTAGAAACGTCAATATTCGAAGCACTTCCCCACAAACATTTTACCGCTTACAAACCAAAACGAATAATAGAACGCCTACGTTAGGGAAATATTTAAATCGACTTTGTTTCAATTGGCAGAATCATCTTATTGGAGCGAATCAAATACTCATATAGTTTTGTTTCTTTGAATATCTTTCGGAGCACGGAGTGTTTCCTAAATACAATTATATGGGTTCCCTTGGTTCCTGTCGCATTTGTATATTCATAAATTTATATTCCACACTTTTTTACATACATACATGTCATTTCAGATCGATGGAATCGCCAATATGCCGAGTTTGCCTGGTCAGTGACAAAAGTATGGTCAATGTTTTCGAGGCGTCCCATGAACCAGGCTTATCCATTGCGGATGTGATAACTAAGTGCACTGGCTGCCAAGTTGAGGAGGAGGATCCACTGCCCAACACCATATGCATGTCCTGCCTGGAGGATGCGGAGAACGCATTCGAAATCATAGAAACGTACGAGAGAAGTCACCAGTTTTACTGCTTCTTCAAGGATGTCCGCGAGGAGGAAAGCGAAAATGAGGGATCCTGTTGTTCCGAAGAAGTGGAATCAGCTGGAGGGGATGGCCAGGGAAAAAATGGGAGCGATGACGATGTAGATTCGAGGGGCAATAATTTGGAAGCCGTCGACGACAATATCGGTTTTGAACCTGATATCAATAAAAACCGCAAGGCCAAGGAGAAACCCAGCTTTAGCTGTTCCTACTGTCCGAAGACCTATCAAGCGAGATCCAGTCTGTCGGTACACATGCGTTCGCACACAGGAGAACGCCCCTTCAAGTGCTCCCTCTGCCCCAAGGCCTTTGGCTACAATTGTGTTCTTCAGGGACACATGCGGACTCACACAGGAGAACGACCCTATAAGTGTTCTCAGTGCTCAAAGACATTTACATTTGCGCACAATCTCAAGGCACACATGCACATACACGAAAGAGGAGAAACGCATAGGTGCTCATACTGCCTAAAGGGCTTTCTAACTTTTTCCGTTCTTAAGCAACACTTGGCCACGCACCTTGATAAACAGTTCCAGTGCTCCCAGTGCTCGAAGGCCTTCCCAAACGAACATGAACTTAAGATGCACATGCGAGATCACCCTGAACGCCTCTTTAAGTGTTCCCACTGCTCAAAGGACTTTCAGCTAAAAGCATATCTTAAGCGACACATGTTAAAGCATGTTGGATGCTCTCAAGGCTCAAAACAATTATTCAGGCACAACAGCTAGTCCACACAAGGCCAACTAAGTGATCGCTTTCGTTTTAGGCATCATCTGGATCGCCATATTTCAGCGAAATATTTTTTTGGAACTTTGTAAGGTTTTTACTTAAGTAACATCCTGAGAAACACACTGGATAAATTAAAAAGAATTTATTTCTAAAGGAAGTTTATTCCTAAGGGTCATCTTAGGTTTGCTGATAGTGCATGCAATGTAATGAATCCTGGACAAGACGACAGTAGCTACAGTGGACGCCAGTCCACGTGTGACGAAGCGCAACAGTAGAGTGCGAAGGCGTCTATATATACCAACAAATAAATATCTGCTATGGTCTTCCGATCCAGCAATCGAAAGGTATGAAAGGTCATCCGATTTTGGGTGAATTAAACCGAAATTATATATTTTCCACCCGGCAATAGAAAGAAGACTTGGACATACGAGCAGTTTTAAAACTGATCAATAATATATATTATGTATATATATTCGAAAACGTTTGTTTATTAAGATTTCGGTTTTTGATAATTTCTGCTTAGTATTGTATTATTTATAAATAAAAGCAATTATAATTACATATGCTTATTTACTTATTTTGGCTCTTAGTATGCACATTGATTATTACTTTGGCATATACGTAGATGAAAATTGGCAAAACAAATAAAAACTGGAAAAAAGTTTTGGGCGGCTTATGAGCGTTAGAGTGGGCGTGCCCAAATTTTTTTTGCATACCTATAGAAATAAACCAGACACATAATAAAATGAAAAACAATCCAAACACTTTTCAAAATGGTGGGTGTGCCAGTTTTGTTCCTGAGATTTCTCGTTCATACGAACGGAAATGGCCTAATCGACTCGGCTAGTGATCTTGATCAAGAATATATACATATACCTTATAGGGTCGGAAACGTCTCCCTCTGCCTGTTGCATATTTCTGAACGAGCCCAGTATACCCATTTACTCTACGAGTAAGGGGTATAAAAATACAAGCCCGCCGGAGATGCCACACCGGTATCTACACGTGACGGGAGTTGCCAGAGCGATTTTCAACACATGTTGGGAGCTGCCATCCCAAAACAGTTATGTAAAAGGGCGGTAGATGTCGCCACTGAATATTTAGTTCTTGGCTTCAAAAAATCAGTTGTGGTGAATAGTGGAAACAAAGGAAATGAAATACTTACGTTGCAAAATAAGTTATTGTCAGGTAAATATCTGGCTGGGAAGCAGACGTATATTAAAATACGTATATTAAACTCTTCTTGGGAAGTTAGAAACGTCATCGTAGGAAATAATAAACAAATGCTAAGTTAAAATTTAAGAACACACTGTTCAACAGAATCTGCTGAAGAGTCAACTCAAAGGGTTTAAAAAATACTATCTGGAGGAAAGTAATGTCTGACATTTCGTTTATAGAACTGCAAAATTATTGAATTCCCACTTGGAAGCTGCGTCATAGAACTACAGTCAAATACAGCACATCCCAAATCAGAAGAGTGTAAGGCGATGGACTTCCCAGCTTTTTGAGCTATTACAAAGGAAGGATGAGCGCCAAAATGGCGCGATCCGGGAATCCAGAACATGGAGCTGGAGGCCTTCATATCTAAAAAAATGGGATCAGCGCGGGCGACGTTAGAGCCAGAACAATCGCACTCACGCTTTTCAGATTTGCATATCAATGGAACATGCTTATTGCATATTGGTTTTCAATAAAATCACTTCTTGCGCTTACTCTCTTAATCGAGCCAACCGATCACTTTCACCGATCGATAGAGTTATATGTTATATAGAAAGTCTAGAGAATCAGTCTAGTTTCAAAGCCAATCCCAAACCAAACCAAAAATATCAATGCGAAAGGACCTAAAGGATTTCAAAGCTGATTGCGTGTGGTTTTGGTCCGATGTGCGAATTATCCTTTATTGGGGTTATCATTGTTTTTGCCATTGGAGGAAAATATATTAATTTTAGAGTGGTCTTTAGATAGCTAATGCACTTCCAACTAGACAGTCTGCTATGCCTTCATAGCAGGATGTGAGTTGTTTGGGTAATAATTGTTAATATTACCCGTTACTTGCAAATTAAATGGGTATATCACATACCATGAAAACCCTATAATCGTGGATTAGGGTCACTAGCCGAGTAGATCTGGCCATGTTCGTCCATCCGCCTGTTTGTCCGTAAGAGCGTCGAGATCTCGGAAACAATAAGCGTTACTAATCTAATAGCTTGCATGCTAAATGGGGTGCTAATTAAGCTGAGCTTCAAGTATTTGATATTCAGGGAACTCTATAAACCCTCTTTTGTTTTTCAATTCTGCATTATGTACATTCCTAAATTTTTCTGATGAGCATCGGATAACGATTCGTTAATTGAGTCACAAAGCAAGGATAGAAGTGCAACGCCTTTCAGAAACTAATCAGCTGGGTAACCCAAATTTCGTGGCCCAGCCCAGCCGCATTGTCCGCAAAAGCAACAATCCAATTATTCAGTTAATTGTCTCACCTTTATGAACAAATTAAAATCCAGCCCAGAGTCAAATGGACTCAAGTTGCTGGGCAGGACGCAGGCAATGCCCATTGTCCTGCCAGGCGAAAGGCAGGAGCAATCGCATCAAGAAGTCGTCGCCGCTGTTCATTATCCTGCAGGACGAGACGCGGGACAATCCAGGGATATGCGGAGACAAAGCTGGCAAGTGAAAAACGCAATGGGATTGCGGCTGAGTCGCAGCCGGAAAGCCAAAGACAAACACAAGTATGGAAACACACTGAGAAGTTTTGAGTGAAAAATTTCACAGTCAATGGATAATCGGGATTAAATCTTCTTGAAAAGTTAATGTTTACACACGCACCTACCGTTGGCGATGAGCGAAAAAAAGATGCAAAAATTATGAAAATATTGTCACAAGTGCACAGCAGCCAGCAACCGCAAACTGGCGAACCAGCGCACAGGACCGCAAGGATCGCCAGGACGAGCCAGGACGAGCCAGGACGAGGCAGGTCGAGCCAGGACGGCCAGGACGAGGGTGGACCGGAGCGAACAGGACAATTGCAGGCGGCAATCAAAACATGCAATTGTCCGTTTCGTTCCGCTTCGAATTGAACTGCACAAGAACCGAAAAACCCAAAACGGACGAAGGACGCAGGACGCAGGACACTGTACTCTGAGGACGAGCCTTGGTAAGAGGATTTGCGCGTCAAGTAAACATACGAATGGCAGGGACCCGATTGCCGATTGCCTGGCCAAAAGGACATCCATACATCCATATACATTTGCGATTTAACGCAGCCCAAATCGAAGATGCACAGCCTGCATAAATAAATAAATAAATAAAATGATTTGAACATTTTTATTTTTGCACACGAAGAGACGAAACATTTTTCTTTGCGTTAAAACAAACAATTTGTTAAAAACCGTTTGTTGCACTCGTTGTGTTCGTATTTACTTTAAATTTATGCGAAAATTAAAAACGTTTTTCGCAAGGATTTCCAGTTGCCCGAATGTTTTCATAGCCGAGCCATACCAAATTGTCCGGACACCGGAGCGTAGCTTACAAAAATATAGATTTCGCCATAAACATCATGGGCCATTCAAAGAGTTTCCATTGCGAATTTTCCGGCTCCACTCTAAAATCATACCGACTCCTCCACGCCGCCATCGAATTTCGCCAACGTCTCGAATATGTCGCGCACTTCTCTCGCAAATAAACAAAAGTCTTGTTGCAATAACATGGCGTGGGATATTTATTAAATAAACATTAGACCAGCAGCCCAGAAAGAGATACGAGTTGCTGCGGGTTGCTACTTTGAATGGGAGTGACTATAGGACAAGGTGTTTTATGAATGAATTCAGCCGTTGCCAGCGGCCCAAAGTGCCGAATGCTAAATGGAAAGGGGTCTGGCCAAAACAGGTAACAAATGTTGCCTGCGAATCGTTGGCCAAGTATGCCACAGTGGGCGTATTAAGTCCGTGATTCAGATTTACATTTCTTGATGGCCACTTACTTTCCTAAAATGTGGTTCATACCAAAGGTGCTGAAATAGACGTATATATCATATATGAAGATTTTAAAACATTTTTTTATACTGAGAATAATTCGTAAAGCAAAGTAAACGAAGTGAATGAATATAATAATAATGAAATACATATATTATATTATACAAGTGTAATAGTTCAGCTTCAGGATCCAGTTCCTACCCAACTACTTACTCTGAACACCTATCCATTAGATTTCGTGTAAATCTTACCGAGCACATCATTACTTAGGGCAAATATCCACACCTCGGACACGCTCCCAACTTATCTTCGACCATCCCGATCCCAACCAGAAGCCAGCAGCATTGATGGCCAGGAACACCCACTTCTCAGCGGGTTGCGGTTCGTAAGCCAATGAAGACCACTAATAAGCCACAAAACCGCAGGACACGCGTGGAATCATCATCATCATCATCATTACGGAATCGGGAGGGGAAACCCGGACATATTGAGCAGCAAGGGCCAGGTAGTCCGAGTTCGAGTTCGAGTTCGAGTCTCGAGGCCTCAAAATCTGAAGCATCTGGGGGAAAACCCGGCGAAAACTCGAGGTTTCATTAAGAATTCCCGCGGCGCGCATTAAAGTCTAAACATGCCTAAAAAGTTTCCACTCTTCGGAGCGATCGATGCCTAAGCATCGACGATTAGCAATCGGCATCCGGTGTTGGCCAGGTAGGATTCAGGATTCAGGATACAGATTCAGATTCAGAATACTCGGCTCCAGATTCCGGACCCCAGACTTAGCGCCGTCTGCTGAATTTCCGCTGCTTATGACCGGAAGATTTTCGCCATGATTACGCTTATGATTAAGCTAATGGCGGATATTTCCCAGCCCCTTCCTGGGAACGCGCGTGTGTTTGTCTGCAACTAATCTGCTAAATTGTCTGGCCAAAGAGAGCAGTCGCGGGAAAAATTGGAGAATATATGCATAATAAGCCCGCAACTGTGTACGAATCATAAATTTTAATGAGTGGCCAATATAGACTCCGAACCATAACTCTGGAACCACCCCAAAGAAATCAAAAAGAGGAAAAAGTCGAGGGGTGCGGGCTGAAGTATCTACCAATTTTGTGGCCACCGGAAACTGCAGTGTGCGAGGGAGAGCTCACTGATGGCAACGCCATCGCTGCATCCCTTTCTACGGCCAGCCACGCCCCCTGCTCAATGCTGCGCAGTCGTTTCTTCGCCTGTATGTGTGAGCCTCCTATCATATTGGTAGAGAGAAAGAGAAATTGTTGCATATTCATGAGAGAGCAGC